TCATCAGCGGCTTGTGAGCCGCTGATGACAGCTATTAATTTAAAGGGGACAGTCTGCTGAACAGTTATACTATAAGCTGATGGTCGCGACCATCAGCTTATAGTAGAACTGTAAATGCCAGGTCCGTATGGCATACTGACCTGGCCAGCTGGAAGCACTTTTGTAGGTCCGTATGCCATACGTCCTTGGCAGCGAAAGGGTTAATACCTGCCCCTGCAGCTACTTATCGGTCCCCTGATACTGTGCCCTGCATACGATCCAATTCATGACCTGGATCTCACACATGGCTGAGGACTCTCTCTCTATGGGTCCCTCAGCAGACATTCACACAGGAGGAAGGGGAGTGAGTCACAAGCTCCCCCCTACCTGAAAGCTCAGCTTATGTCACAAGATGAAAGAGAAGGGAAATGAAGTATACACGCTGTGCCTGGCATTAAAGTGAACCTGTTGATTTTTTTGCCTGCAAGGGTAAGGACTGGTTCACTTTAAAGGCAGAGAAATGAAAAGGCAGTACCTGAGGGCACCCCATGGGCTGTGATGGTAATGGAGTGTACTGTTCAGCACATTTGTTACACTTTGTGCACTATCACACTGCCTCAAACATTGCCTGTAATACATGGTCCACTCCCAAAGATTCAAACCCACTTTCACTGCCAAGCACCCCCCCCTGAAGGAAAAGTTTGACAAACACCCAGTCACAAAGGCAATGGGTGCACTTTAGTATCCAAACTCCCCATGAAACTGACCTGAGCGACTAACAGACACATTGAGGTGTCCAGGATGTCACTTTCATTACAAAAAGTTGCAAAAAAATACAAAATAAAACAACCCATTACAAGGTAAAATCCCTGTGTGAGAAGTCTGATGGAAGCAGCCACGGTCTGACTCCTGGGATGTAGAAGTTCTATCACTTCTACTTGAGTCTAGAGTAGTGGTTCTCAACCTGTGTAACCTCAGGACCCACATTTGTCCTCCGTCATTAAGTCGCAACCCAAGTTGCACTGCAATGGATTGCCCAGCAGTGTGGGCTGCTGTGCTGTGATCCATCCATATGTGCATTGCTTGTACAGTTCCCATGCGTGCCTGTAGAGAGGGAGCCAGAATGTGATGTCACTTCAGTCCAGGAGCCTCTACAGGACAAAGGAGGGAGCTATAAGAAATGTACATATGGATGGAGCTCCCTGGCGGCCATACTCGCAACCCGACCCACCAGTTGAGAACCAAGAGTCTAGAGTCAATGACAGCTCTTATCTGAGAATCCTGGTGTCTCAGGTTCCCTCTACTCAAATATGACTGTCTCACCTCCGAAGCCACAAAATCCAGTCTCTTTGTAATCTTTGCAGATGTCAGGCTGGTAGTCCCACCGCACGGTAGCCCGAAGATGTTCAGGAGCTCTGATTGGACCTTTCCTGAATTAAAGACACCACAATGAAACAATCAATACTGAGAGTCTTCAAAAATCACAATTAAAAATAAAAAAGGAATGTGATAACGACACTGAGTTTTATAACAAGGAAAACATTGCTGGAGTGCCCATAGCAGTCGGATTCTTCATTGGTAATCCTTCATTGGAATCTGATTGGCTGATGTAGACAACACAGACATGCCCTCTACATTACAGACATAAAAGTTATGTGAGAATAGGACACAGGTTTGGTCTCACCTATACTTAGAGACTGTGACACTCTCTGGGAAATCTTCCCAATACGAGGGCAGGCCAATAAGTTCTTACCCTCACCATGATCTAGATGTGCAGGTTTATAGGTGGATATCTTAGTAATATGCATGCCAATTGTTGTAGGTCGTGGTGAATTATAGTTAGAGCCAACAGAAATGGAGTCATGCGGGACAAAGTTGAATACCGAGCCGTGATTAGGTTCCTACATCTTCAAGGGAAATCTGCCCAAATAATCCCTGAAGAGATGTCAGCGATTGTTGCTATGAATCCCTGCCCCATCCACCGTACTCACCTGACCTGGCGCCTTCGGACTTCTTCCTGTTTCCAAATCTGAAGAAACATTTACGGGGAAGACATTTCCACAATAATGAGGCAGACATTACTGAAGTTGATAGCTGGGTTTCCTCCAGATCTGCATACTTCTACGCAGATGGTATTAAAGGTCTGTTCCACAGATGTGAAAAGTGTGTAGCCATAGGAGGTGGATATGTAGAAAAGAAAAAGTCAGTGGACTCAATTTCAGATCCCTAGCACATCTGGATCTTGGTGAGGGTAAGAACTTATTGGCCTCCCCTCATACATGCACGGGGGGGCAATAAAAACCTGACAGAGCCTTTCCCACTCCATCTAAAAGAGGGGTCTCCAAGTACCGGCCCGCGAGCCGGTACTATGTGGCCCGCAGCCAGCTGACAAGTCGAGCACACGGTTACCAACCGTGTGCCCGACTTGCGGGAGCAGCTGCACGGTCTGCATCTCTGTCGGATGCGGACCGCAGAGCTGCTCCTGTCAGCTCCGGCCAGAGCTCTGTCAGTTCTGAGCTCCGGCCCAATGATGGATCATTAGTAAAGGTCTGCACTAGACCTTACTAATCACCACTAGATAACCAGATATAGTATGTGAAAGGATTACATGCAGTTACAAAAACAATCACTGTCCGTGGATAAACAATTGTGTATCCAGGGATAGTGACAGATTCTTAACTGCATGTAATCCTTTCACATATGATTACATGCGGTGTGCAGGCGTTTACATCCAGCAGCTGTCACCCGATCATTCATTTGAATGGGTGACAGTTGCCGCTTGTAACATGTGCATACATTAAAACTGGTACCCTATATAGTAGCGGACCCCACGGGACTAAAACATTTGTCCAGTGGCCCCCGACTAAATTGAGTTTGAGACCCCTGGTCTAAAACATAACTTTTGTCTAGAGTTGGGCTTTAAAGGCAGCAGTATCTTGAAGATCAGACCTAGGTGTAGGCGCCTATAACAATCCTCCATTTTAATTAAAGGCAAAGTTATCCTTGTAAGGGTAACATTAGAGGGACAACACAAGGCAACAGGTGATCAGTGACTGGACGGCGTACCTCACCATACCAGAAGAAGCGTTTCCCATTGACGTGTCTTTAGGCTTTACAAACTTCTGGTAATTGTGCATTCCACGATAGATCTTGTCGTCCTCTTTTCCTTTTATCTCCTGACACCAGAACAAACAAAAAAAGACATTCACACGTCACATGATTTGAGAAGGTACATGTCTCCGTTACCAATTTACATCACTTTGAGCGAACAAAGTAATCTTGAACTGAGGAGCAGCAACATGTGACCAGATGGAAACACATGGCGGTCTTATCTAATGCCTAGGCAATGGGCATATGGACTCTGGCTAATTGGGGCAATGTCACTTCAATGCAGATAGAAGTAGACATCACTTCCATAGACAGATACTGGTAGGGTTATGGCAGAGTAAGTGGATCAGCTAAGTTCCCCAAGTACAAGTAGGCTGATAGCCTCCCGCAATTCCAAATGATATGACTAGATACACTGGTTTCCAATGAAGGGACCTTGGCATATGTGGGCCTCAATGACGATGGTAAGCACACTATGTGGGAAGCTCCTTTGGGGCATTATAGAAAAATTGCTCACCTATGTTTTAGAGAGCTGTGAAGTTTGTAAGCAGTATTCTCAATACAGGAAACTAAAACTAAAACTATCAACAAGTCCAATAAGAAATGTTCCATCTCACCTCTTGTACTTTCTGGCTCCTCTCGAATATTGCCTGGGCGTCCTTGTCCTTCTCTGTATCCAGCTCATACGTGGCTGTGGCGCCCATGTCGTCGGGGCCTACAGGTTTCTGGTGAAGGGACATACATCATATACACATATTAGACCCAGAGGGAACCCATGCCATACTGGAAGTCTAACCACACCATGTTTTCCAGCAAAGATCCCAAACTAGGAAACTTTCAAACAAAAAGAGACACAATGTATTATAGGCCAGCGACTCATCTATTATTCTTTGAGCCAGCCTCCTAAACCTCTCTGATCTCATTCCCATCTGAATCATAAGCTCTTAAGCCATAAAAACTAGGGATGTCCCGATGCCACTTTTTTAAGACCAAGTACAAGTACTTTCCCGCAGGTAATTGCCGATGCCAATTGCCGATACGGTAGTCCTGGTCCTCCCCTGTCAGTAGGCATCGGGATACCCCAGCTTTGGACACAGGGGCGGTCACTCCGGCTGCACTGCCGGTAGTTCTTCCCATGGGGCTGTCCATGGCTGTGCCCGTGCCGGGAAGGAGGAGGAGATAAAGAACCAGGCAGGCACTGCCATGGACAGCTACTTGCAGGTCACCAGCAAGCTGCTGAGGTCCCCACAAGCGCAGGTGCTCAGCAGCTGCTGCGGTTTAAACATTTACCGGTATCTGGCTTAAGAATCGGGGCATTTTCACAAGTACAAGTACTTGTGAAAATGCCTGGTATCGGCCCCGATACTGGTATCGGTATCTGGACATCCCTAATATAAACCATACTCCATGTCTCTGAGAGATTACAGACTAGTAGGAAGGGAAATAATCAAAAAGGTCATTATCAGTGATGTCATAAGTTCCATCTCTCTAACCACCACTGAAGCAATAGGATCATAGGGCCCTCCCCCTGGAAATTAAACGCTGGCACGTAGAACGGCACCATGAAAATAAGTCACATCAAAAATGACATTCCGGCAACATATCTAATAACACAAAATGTGTACTCGCTAAGAATAAAATGTTCCCTTGAAACTTTAGTGCCTAAGAGGAATGAGTGCAAACTATTCAGCTAAAGGAAAGAGACGAGGGACAGTAAATGGGAGGGGGGGCAGTTTATCCAGGTGACAAGTTTCTCACCGCCGATCTTGTGGATTTATAGGACACGGTTATGGATTTGGAGGAGACGTCCTCTTCCTCACCGCTGCTCGCTTTGCATTCGGCTGCCTCCTTGTTGCTTAGTTTTGTCTGAAAGAAGAGCACAAATGATGAGTTTTGGTAGACTATGCAATGTCGTATAGACACAGTCCTGACACATGTCCTTTATATTATCATCACAGGGAATCCTTTATGAACAACCCTATATAAAGCCCAAAGCAACCAGATCCCATCTACCATTAGCAAGACAACCATCTCCTGGGTTCATGTAAGCAACACTTCTACGGTTCTCTCATCAGCTGAGTGAGAATTTATCCTATGTGCCTTTTTAAAGATGGAGAACGCAAAGCTGCCTAACATTTAATATATATAAACCCGACCTCTAAAATTTCATATACGCTTTGACATGTTACTTTATTCTGAAAAGCTGGTTTTATTATTTCAAATTCTGCAGCTTTAAGTCAATACCTGGTGATCCTGCCATGAAGCTCCTTATTCAGGCACTTCCTGTTACAGGCCTCATTCACACACAGCTGTAACATGAGAGCTGTCAGCAGGACCCTGCAATTTTTATCTGTCTGTACACTTTTACATAGGTAACGTTTACATGCAGCCAGCAGTACAGTGTACATGGGCCCTACGGATTACCACTGGCCAACAGAATCAACATTGTGTAATCAGAGGAGCCTGCACTATTAATATGCCCCTGCCATCTCGCGTCCTTGGTTGCTAGGACACAGAGGGCCCCTGCCAACTACTGTCCTTGGTTGCTGGGACACATGCAGCTCCTGTCAAATAGTATCCTTGGTTGCTAGGACACAGGCGGCTCCTGCCAACTAGCATCCTTGGTTGCCAAGACACAGGCAGCTCCTGCCAACCAGCATCCTTGGTTGCCAAGACACAGGCAGCTCCTGCCAACCAGCATACTTGGTTGCCAAGACACAGGCAGCTCCTGCCAACCAGCATCCTTGGTTGCCAAGACACAGGCGTCTCCTGCCAACTACCATCCTTGGTTGCCAGGACACAGGCGTCTCCTGCCAACTACCACCCTTGGTTGCCAGGACACAGGCGTCTCCTGCCAACTACCACCCTTGGTTGCCAGGACACAGGCGTCTCCTGCCAACTACCACCCTTGGTTGCCAGGACACAGGCGTCTCCTGCCAACTACCACCCTTGGTTGCCAGGACACAGGCATCTCCTGCCAACTA